ATGCTGTAGATGAAGGTATAGCTGCAATCATTTGTGGTAATGTTTTGGTAGAACTGGAAAAGCTTTACCCTAGCCTGCAGAAGTCTGAAAGAGTGGCAGAGATGTGGGCAGACATCAGAGATCTTTATCAGAAGTTTGATGTCCCTCCTGCCAACAGATTACCAAAGCTTTCAGAGAAGGACATCCAAATGAGCGGCAAGCAGCCTGAGTTGTCTGGCAAGGCTGCACACATCAGAGGGTTGTGTCCACTGTTGGGTGACCTTGCATCTGGAAAACTTTTCCAAACTGTTGCAAACTCTGCATTGCCTTCTTCAGGCTGTAAAGGCAGAGGTGCGGCCATGCTCCCTATAGCTTTGCTCAGCTGTATCTCCCTGTGTACTGTGTGCATGTGTTCATGTGCTGATTTTTTTTGCCACGCTTGCATTTTGCCATGCTGCTCATGCTCTGCGTTGCGCTCATGCTCTGTGTTCTTGAGCCAAAAACCTGAAAGTCTGGAAGACTGTTTTTCAAGCTTCCAGAAGCTGGAAACCACAAAGTTGGCTTCCAGAAGCTGCTTTTGGAATACTCAACATCAACACAATTCAAACTTTCCAAGAAGCGCTTCTCAGAGAAGCTTGCTTTTTTGGCTGGCAGCCCTTTTTTAGGAAGTATGGTTTTGAGGCTGGCAGCTTTGTTTCAGAGCTGCCACCAAAAAAACAAGCTTCCAGAATGCACTTCTTGAAGCAAGCAGCCTAAAAAATTGCTGCCAGCCTTGTTTCTTGACTTCTCGGAGCTTTAGGGTAGTCTTGGCGGCAACGCGCGGCAACTCAGCATTGGCGCATGTTCCAGCAGGACCTGTCGCATATTGTGATAGTTCTGCGCAACGACCCCAAAGTAACAGGTGTTCTGGCCCTCCCAACTCGCGTGGCGCAAACGGACAATCTGGTCAGTGACTATCTCGAGTTCCTTTGGGCGGATGGGCGTGGAAAGTAAGAGGCAAACAATACCCTTGCTGCCCTGCAGGACTTTGACCCAAACCTACGTCGGAAGCTTCCGGTACTGAATGCAAGTTGGTGGCCGCTGCATTCCATGAAGTGGTCAGCTACCTGAAGAAAAGAAAAAGGAACCTCAAGACTGGTGGGAAGACACCACCGCACACCCAGAGGCTACTGGCTATTGTGGATGTGTCCATGAAGAAGAAAAAGTCTGAAGAAGGCCAAGCCAACAAGAGCTTGAAGCAGAAAATGGTGCCTGGAGAAGGCAAGGGCAGGAGACCAAAGCTCATCATAGCAGAGCCTGAGCCCACAGAAGTTTGGGGCGTGGAAAGTTCTGTTGCAGGAACCGAAAATTCATCCATGGTGAAGCCTGAGGAGCTGATTGCAGCCTGTAGAAGGCTGGAAGTGAAAAAGAAGCCTGCAGCCAAAGAGCCAGACATCTTGAAGAAACCTGCAGCCAAAGAGCCAGTCATCTTAAAGAAGCCTGCAGCCAAGCCTGCAGAAGGCAAAGCAAAAGACACAGAGCCTGGAGACGGGATTGCAAAGGCAAAGCTTGGCAAAACCTGGGCCAAGTCTGTCTCCTTTGGGTGGGTGAAGCAGACCAGGGCCATGCAGAAGGCCTACATCCAAGCAATGCCTGAAGAATGCAAAAAAATTATTGCTTGGTCAATGTGGAGGTGGTTAGAGGACCTCTCCAAACCAACTTGAGAGGAGGGAGACACGAAAGGTAGGACAGCGGGAAGAGAAGAGAACGCGAGAGGCAGGAACAAAAATGCAATTTTCGACATGGTGACCTTTCGTGAATAAAAATTTCATATGCACTCTAAATGTTCAAACATATGCTCTCAAAGTGTTCAAAAAGATTCTTAGGAGCATTGAATCGGAGCATCATAGGATTTAAACTATCCTAAAACCATAAGAGGTTCACGAAGACGTTCCCCAGGAGAGAAGTGACGCGCTTCACAAAACAAACTCTAGGTATGTATCCCCTCGGGGAACACCTTTCGCGATTAGAATTTCATTTGCACTCTTTCTGAATGTTCAAGAGGGTTTCAACTATCCTAAAATCATGAGAGGCTCACGAAGACGTGTACCGACGGGGGAATTGATTTTGCGAGGGGGGAGGGGGGGGAGGGAGGTCTGTATTGAGAAATCAATTCCAAGGGGGGGGGGTTGAATTGAACAATCAATTATTCAACCCGGAAGAGCCGACACTTGCTTCGCAAGACTAACTCAAGGTATCCCCTGAAGGGCTACCTTTCGTGAAGTGATGGACAAGCTGTGGGACAAGGCACGCAATGAAGCAAGCCTGGAGAAGGCAGCCTTCGTTGATTTCAAAAAAGCTATGCTGAAGCCTACAGAAAATGTGGACTAGCCTTGAGCCTGAAGAAGGCCTTTGGGCTGGCAACCTTGAGCCTGAAGAAGGCTATAGGCCGACCTTGAGCCTAAAAAGGCTTTTTTTTGCAGGGTGTGGAAAAGGCTGCCAAGAGTGCTTTGGTGGGTGGGTTAGCCTGTAGAAGGTTATGGTTTGGGGGCTGAGGTGTGAGGCTTGTTTCTTGGTTTGGTGGTGTTTGGTTTTTACATGAAGAAGGTTGTAATGTTGTTTTTTTGCTCAAGCTAGGCAGAGCAAAGCAAACATGCATGCACATGCCACTACACACTCACACACACTGACACAGACTTACCTAACTGGAGTACTAACTAAACCACACTGCACTCACAACTGTATAGCCCACAACTAAACACCAGACACTCACACAACTGGAGCTTACAACATACAGGCAGCACTCACAAACACAACCAACAAAAGTACGCGC